ACCTGCCTGTGAACGTGCAGCATCGTGGATTAGTCAAAAATGTAAAAACCCTGAAGAGGAAAAAGAATTATACGCAGCATGTGACCAATTCTTAATTAAACAAGGTATCGAAGTCCTTAATGAAAAAAATAGACAACAGCCACGCGTTTCTAAAAGACGATCAGTAATTGAAGGAGATACTATTCAAGTTGTTACAATTTCAGCAGATGATAAAACTCGCAAAGCAGTGTATGACTTCCTTCGTTCTCAAACTACCCCAAAGCATCCTCGTACACTTATAGCTTCTCAGAAAAATGATGGATCATTCCCGCTTCATGAGTTAGTTACTGAACATCTTGAGATTCCAGTAGTTCATATTAATGAACCTATTAAACGCTACGTTCATAGCCCAGCTCTAAGAGAGTGTGATGCCTCCGTTTGGAATACAGCATTTACAATTACATACATGAGAATCGTGTTAGATAAATATGAAACAGAGTGGCAATCAGCATGTCAACCCGCTTTAAAATGGGTATCCGAACAGATAAAGGATCAAGAATTAGAAAAAGAATTATTTGCAGCATGCGAACAATACTTGTTTGAATTAGGCTTTGACCTTCTTAATAAATCCAAAGAAACAACCAAATCAGTCACCAAAGAAACAATTAGATCTGTCGATGTTCCACCCACTCGTTACGGATCTGATGGTGGAGTTCTTTCACCTAAAGATGCGTATCTCAATTCAGAATTAATTGTTGTTGGGGCCGCATGCACAGCTAACCGCCAACTCCATAAGAGTTATTCTGAAACCGTGAAACCGACTAAAGAGAAGGCGCGAGAAGAAATTTTAGTATTTGCAGAACAAGAAGTCGACAAATTATTTGCGAATAATGTCACACATAGTAATAAGGAAGATGTGTTGCAACGTGCTAAACGAGCTGCTCGCTTCTTGATTGATCAATATTATGAGGAAGGCGGTTGTTCTTAAAATTTTTAGTAGGATATTTATATATTTTTTTATTACATATATATATTTAGGATTTTTATTTTTATATATTTAGGATTTTATATATTATATTTTTTTATTTTATATTTTTATATATTTTGGACATTATTATTATTTGATGAATGAGTGTAAAGGCAAAAATATGAAAGATGTAAATGCAAGAATATAAATAAAGAATATTATATTTAAAGAGTGTTAAGCCCAAGAGCGTACACTTATGGAGGTTTTACTGTACTAAAGTAATTTGACCATTATCAGTAATTTTGTGAACCTTAGAACTCAAGACCAAAATTATTGAAAAAGGATCAATAATAATTTTTAAAATATACTTAAAATAAAAAAAATCGAATTAAAAAAAGATTATCCCTCATTATTGCCTGTATCTTAAAAATGAACCTTTTACGAAGATTTTTAGCTAATGCTAGGGTTCAGTATTATCTATTAAATAAAATTATGTCTTGCTTGGATAGTTATATTTCTACAAGTGTTATTACAAATCTTAAAATTAAAAGCTTATTATAAACTTCATATTTCTCAAGGTAGATTTGTTGTTTAATGTCAATATTTTGAGCTCAGGCTCGAGATGTAAAATTTAAACAAACATGATTGGCTTTAACTAACCAAAAGTAGAAAATATATAAAAAAATAAATTGCTTTCTTTACAATTTATTAAATTTTTAAAGTTTATAAAATATCACGTTTTATCAGTTCTATATACTTATTAAATAAGTTTTGAGATTTTATTTAAAAAAAATAATAGAAGCGTAACGAACGGCGAAATCGTATTACTTTTAAATCGTAATAAACGATGAAATCGTACTGCTATTCGTGCATTTAGATTACGGTTTTTGAAATAACGAGTTTCGATTCGTCTCAACAAAAACATCAACAAACATCGAACCTATAATGAAAGCATCAACAACGTATCTGAAAAAAATAGTAATAATGAAAAAAAAACAACGACTACTTCAACTTCAAAATAACATTTATAAAAAAATTTAATATATGTATTTCTTTGTTTTTGATAATACGTCTAGTAAAAAAAATTTTATTACTTTTTTAAATTTATTGCACCCAGAATCTACGCCGTTTTCTTGTATTTTAATATTACTTTCCTCGTTTTGCTTCTATATTTTCTTTCTTGCTTTTATTTACTTAATTTAAGCGATTCTTTTGTTTGAATAAATCGTTGGTTTTGACATACAGCAAAACAACCGTTTTGATGCTTAAATCTATAACAAAAAAAAAATAATCGAATTTGGTTAATAATTAAGCAAATATCAAATTACAAAAATCGTTATATCAATCAACATCAATTGTGTAATTTAAAACTTCACGCGTAACCGATTACTAAATTCGTAATATAACCAAAATAATTTGGAATATAATAATTTAAATTAGTATTCTTATGTGCCCCTACCCCGCACATAAGTGTCGTAACCAACCTTATTCAAGTTACGTCCTTTTAAAAAAAAAAAAAAATTAAAAAAAAATAAATATTTTCCAACTTTATAAGGGTGTTTCAACTCTATAAGGGTGTTCCGACTTTATAAGGGTGTTCCGACTTTATAAGGGTGTTCCGACTCTATAAGGGTGTTTCAACGCACGACGCTCGCCGCTTGGCTTTTTTGACTGTTTAAGAAAGATACATAACTATCCTTCTCCAGAAGCAGTAGTCCTTAAACAGAATAATTCAAAAAAGCTAATGCTAAAAAAAAAAAGTTTTCCACTTATATAAAAAATTTAATTGAGTAATCACATGATTAATAACCGTGATGCGTTCAAATTAATCAACAATCGCGTTTACATTTTTAAAAAACACGTGCAATAACGCATCACGCTCACATGATTAACGTGATCGTTCAAAACAATCAACAATCGCGTTTCACATAATTAACGTTAATCACCATGTGTTTAAAACAATCAACAATCGCTCCTAAACACAAATATATTTGTATTTAACGCTCATATGACTAAATCGCGTAAATAAAGTACCATATATTACCGTTGGCCACTGCCTACAGTATCCCCCAACAATAATACCCCCATGATTAAGACCCGGGTATTATTCACCATCCTACTGGCTTGTTACTTGAATAAGACCCGGGGTACAACTATATTGATTTACCACTTTTAATATGAGTGCTGTCAATAGAAAACCTGTCATCGGGCTTTCAATGTACAGTTAGCTTTCTACATGCCGTCTATACAATCTATCATCGGAAATTTAATTATATTTCGTGTCTGATATATGAGTGCCGCCAAGGGAAAACCTGTCATCGGACTTTCAATTATATTTTGTGTACAGTTAGCCGTCTACGAAAAATCTATCATAATGATAGATTTTCTATAGATGGC